AAAAAAAATAATAATTAAAAAAAAAAAAGAAAGAAAGCAAATGAAGTCTCCTCTGCTCAAAAGCTAGCACTTGCTGTCTTGTGCTGTGGATTTGGCATTTTTTAACTGGAGTTGATAGCCAGGCTTGTGAAGCTCTAAAATGTCTACAGATAAAATTTTGTGAACACAGCACATTCACTACTGGGTCTGTGATCAAAAAATGTCCTCACATAGAGGTCAGATGTGGTAGGGGGGAAAGTTAGTGGCAACACTCACTAGCAAAACCAGGTTACCTGGGGGTAGGAAAATTGAAGAACTCCAAGCACCTTTACTATTCAAAAATAAAATAGGCCATGACAGAGGAGAAAGAATCCTCGGAAATGCACAACATCTGTTCCCTGATTCCTGCCAGGGACACCATGGTAACAGCATCGTAATCTGCTGGGCTTCCAGAAGAATCTCAACTGTTTCTCCTCAGCAAACACCTGCACCTTTCCCGGGCCACAGGAGAGACATTAACTCATCACACCTCATTAGCCTGGAGTGGCGGTGATTACGCAAATGTGGTGGGCCATCCAGAGCTTCCTGGATTGAACAAACCCAACCGTGGACTGTCAAAGTAAGAGATGCCGGCTGCACTAGGCTTCCAGACACAGCCTAACTTGGCTGCTCATTCTGAATGGAAGCCATGGGTAGAGCCACCAGATAAACTATAGAACGTCCAGTAAAATTTCAATTTCAGATAAATAACAAATTTTTCCAATTTAACTGGGCATCCTATATAGTTATTCCCACAGCCTGGCAAGCCTATACTCTGAGAGTTCCTGCTGTACCAATCTACCCTCTCTCCCTCCATTTAAATCAAAGGAAACTGAAGACCCAGCCTGAACCCCAAAGTGCCCAGCTCGATTTATGCTGACCCTGAGGTAGCCATCCCGCACGGCTCGGCCCGGGTGGGACACGGGAAGTATCTGGGGAGCTTTAAGTAATACCCCAAACCTGGCCATCTTCCCAGGGACTCTGATGCTAGCTCTCTGGGATGAGGTGCTGGCATCAGTGCTTTGTTCAGCTTTCCGAACACTCCACAGATGATGTGGATGGGAAGCTGAAGCGGGGACTCACTGAGCGAGAACTTCAGTTCTCACACTTGGAGCTCATCAGAACCTCCTGCCGCTCCTTTTGAAGGAGGATTCCTGGGTCTGTCTCTGAAAGTTCTGACTCAGTAGGCTTCCCATGAGCCTAAGATGCTACGTTTTAACAAGCACCTTAGGAACAGACCTCTAATCATACTTTGAAAGCCTCCATCTCATCCTGGCAGGCCCCCCTTCCTGCCAGTAGAAGCCCCCACCAGGAGCTCACAGACATCCAGAAGCGTAAGACCTATAGAATCCCTGTCTACGTTTTAAAAGGTCTCACAGGTGACTTGTTTTCCTTGAAAGTTTCATAGGCACAGAGCTAGACATCTAACCTTTCTAAGGAACCTCAGTAGCGTGACTTACATTCCATGCCCTTTCTGAACTCCCCTAATGCCAGGGTTCCTAAGTCCATCTCAGACTGAGATCATTCTTGGTCATAAAAAATGCTTAGACAACATTTTTCTTCTTCATCCAACTGGAGCTTACAAAGCATCAATTTAGCAATATCAAATTTTGTATAATCAGTGTTTGGCATGCTTATAAAAGAAAGGTGGTTTAAAAGAAAAAAGAAAGGTGGTTAAAAATACAAGAGAGAGGGCCAGCCAAATAGCTAAGCAGATTAAAGCACCTGCAAGCAGGGGCAGGGGTGTTCAATCCCCAGGCCTGCTGTGCTGGCCCTG